GGAGGAGGTGCTGACTCCCTTAAAGGCAGGGAGGCCCTGCAGAGAGATCTTGAAAAATCAGAGGGCTGGGAAATCACCAACCATATGAAATTCAATAAGGGAAAGTGCCAGATTCTGCACCTAGAATGGGGCAACCCTGGATGTTCGTAGAGACTGGGGAATGAGATGCTGGAAAGCAGTGCCATGGAAAGGGACCTGGGGGTCCTGGTTGATGGCAAGTTGGATATGAGTCAGCAGTGCCCTGGCAGCCAGGAGGGCCAAGCGCGTCCTGGGGGACATCAGGCAAAGCATGACCAGCCGGTCAAGGGAGGGGATTGTCCCACTTTGCTCTGTACTGGGGCGGCCTCACCTGGAATATTGTGTGCAGCTTTGGGCAGATGATATAGGAAAGATATTAAGCTGTTAGAGAGTGTCCAAAGGAGGGAAACAAAGATGGTGAAGGACCTTGAGGGGGAAGCCGTATGATGAGCAGCTGAGGGCACTTTGTCTGTTCAGCCTGGAGAAGAGGACACTGAGGGGAGACCTCATTGCAGTTACAACTTCCTCATGAGGGAAGAGGAGGGGTAGACACTGATCTCTGCTCTGTGGCGACCAGTGACAGAACCCTAGGGAATAGTCTGAAGTTGTGTCAGGGGAGGTTTAGGTTGGATATTAAAAAGAGGTTCTTCACCCAGAGAGTGGCTGGGCACTGGAACAGGTTCCTCAGGGAAGCGGTCACAACACCAAGCCTGAGAGAGTTCAAGAAGTGTTTGGATGATACTCTCAGGCACGTGGTGTGACTCTTGGGGATGGTCCTGTGCAGGGCCAAGAGTTGGACTTGATGATCCTTGTGATCCTCCCCACTCAGCATGTTCTGTGACTGTGATTCTGTGCTGGCTGTGTGCAAATGAGGGAGATGCTAAGAGTGCTGGGGAAGGAGAACTGACTTCATTTGTATTTAACATAGGGCTGGGTGAATTTAGATGGCTCACTGTTGCTCTGGCTAAGCTTTCTATCCTGTGCTTTTCCATTTTCAGGAGGTAGTGGACTGGTTCAATGCCATTCGCTCTGTGCAGTTCCATTATCTGAAGGTAGCATTTCCCATTGCCAGCGATAATGAGGTAAGACAGCACTAGAGCACAGTGCTGAGTCTCCTGCTGCTTATGTGATAAAGGAGCTCATTAGTTACTATTATAACCTCAGGTACAGAAGTGGAAATTGCAGTGTCTAGATAGAGGGATGAGAATATATGTTTAAAAGGGCCTGTGGCGGTCAGGAAACAACCGCTTTCTGCTGTTTCTGGCCATTTTGGAAGAAGAAGTGACTCCTGGCTAGGCAGTTCAGGAAATACAAATTTAGAAGGTGACTGAATTTGAGGGAAGGTGACTTGAATTGGAAGGGTGGAGGGGAAACGAATAGCAAAGAAGCACAGCTAGGTGAATGTTACTCTTGACTTTTTGTCAGATTAAAAATCGTCTGACGAGAAATTTCTTGAAGGAGGGATACATGGAGAAGACTGGTCCCAAGGTGAGCTATTATGGTAAAAAAACATCTTAACAGGGACCAGCCAGAGAGCCGCTGGCTTTCCCAACTTCAATGTTTTTCTCCTGCTGTTTCCCCATTCCCCCCTGACTCTTTAGACACCCGTGGGAACAGTGTGTGTGCACCAAGGGAGGGGACAATTAAAGGAAGGGGAAGGACACATGTGAAAGTAGATGAAGCCAGAGTCCCTGCTTTCTCCCAGAGCGACAGATCTCTCTGCATGTGTCTGTGTGTGCATGACCTTACAGGTATTTAGTGTCTAGATTTCTCCTGTCTCAACTCAGGGGTCCTTTACCAAAGTCCAAGAGTTGGGGACAGCAGCTGGGACTGAAAAACTCGATACTGACCCCCACTCTCAGCTCAGAAAGGGCGAGGAGGAGGTTGCTGTTAAGCCAGGGGCTTGCTTCAAGTGGTTGGGATGAATTTTGGGTATCCATTTGTACTGCTCACAGCAGAGGGCGATGTCCCCTTACATTTGTCACCTCTTCCCTTCACAGCAGAGAGAGGCTTTTAAGAAGCGCTGGTTCACGCTGGATCACCGCAGGCTCATGTACTTCAAGGATCCTTTGGTGAGGGGGAGATCTGACCGCTGGGCAGCTGCAGGCAATGGTGCTGAGGGCAGGGTCAAAGTGCAACCAGAGTCTCTGCTCTGCAGTAAGAGTGGCTCGCAGGTTCCCCAGCTGCTCTGGATGGGCTCCACGTCTTCCCCTTTCCATCCCACTTAGGTCACATGCTTTCTGTGTTTCACTGCCTGCAAACAATGGGAACAGGGAGGGCAGCAGTGTAAAGGTGGTGATGGAGTTCCTCTCTCAGACCTCTCAAGACCTATGTCCTTAGATATTCCTTTTCACTATAGTCTTTGAGCATAGACTCCCTGCTCTTCTGAATTCCCTGATGACCTCCAGAACTTTTGCTGCAACATCCCTGGTCCTCACACACTCTCTCCTGTTCTTAGGTGCATTGTAATTATTTCTTGATTCTTCTGGGATTCCATAAATCACTGTCTTTTCCTCCTGATGTGCAGGATGCATTTGCTAAGGGTGAGGTATTTGTGGGCAGCAGAGAGAATGGATATAGTGTCCAGAAGGGATTGCCTTCAGGGACACAGGGCAACTTCTCTTGGCACTATGGCATCACCATTGTCACCCCTGACCGGGAATACCTCTTCACCTGCGAGACAGAGGCTGACCAGCTGGAGTGGATCAAAGCCTTCACTAGCGTGATCAACCAGGCCATGACACCACAGGAATATGCAAGTAAGTGCCAAGATGCTGTTTCCCTCCCCTCCTGCCACTCCAGTTCAGGGTATTGCCCTAATTCACCACCTTTTTTCCTTTACTACAGTTGAAGCCTACTTCAAGTTTAAATCCTAGGAAACCATTCAGGAACTATGACTCCACTCTGCCTGGTCCTGTGGCTGTCAGGAGAGGAGAGCAGATTGACATCAGAGAAACACTGTGCTCTTGAAGCACCCTTGAAGCACTTTTGCCCCCACAAAATGTCCACTTGTTTTGAGGGCCCAATTAAGCTGCTTCCTTTCAAGTGCAAGACTTTGAGTCTGAATCCTCAGTACAACCTGTCCCTGTTAAATTGCTGTGATCTGACTGGATGCTGGCAGGTCTTGCCTATAAATCAGGCCTTGAAAACTTTGGCACTTACTATGTTGGACATGGGACCTTTCATCACTCCTGCATGGAACTGCAGACAGCCACCTACCTTACTCAAGAAAACAGCTGCCTGGCTGGAGCCAGGCACCACAGCAGGTTGCAGGGGCTGCTGGACTAAGAAAACCTGTTCCTTTAAAGGAAATGTCATCTCTGCTGGTGACAGAGATGTGAAACATTTAGATATTTGATCAGTTAGAGCTGTAGTTGAGAAAGGTCACTTAAAAATGTAACCTACCAGCCAAATGTGAGACCTGTTTCCTTCTGCTCTGTATGGGCTTGAAAGTTTCTTCAGACTACATTTGTGTGCAGACTTTCCTCTGATTGCTACAGAGGAGATAAGGAGATAGTCTCAAAAATAATGTGTGAATATACATTTGAGTGTATGTTTAATGTGTGTGTGTGCATATAACAAAAAGTGATGGGAGGTGGAATACTGCCCTAGGGAAGATACTGTGAGGGATATTTATGCCACTGAAGTTCAGCCGTCAAACTTGAGTCTCTAGTCAAACCAATGGAGAGAGGTTGGGTCCCGCAGAAAGCAACTTATAGCATGTATAGAGTTCAGAGTCTGACTCTGCTAGAGGCTAGGGGTTGGTGTCTGAATATAGAATGGATTTCTACTCTCTCGTTCTCTGTATGTCAAAGGCCTGGCACTTTCATTGTGACCTACACATTACAAACATTTATCTTGTATATCACCTATACGTATTATTTTGTGCAGTACTATAACAGGGAAAGTGTATTTTCATGTTCTTCTAGTAACAGCCCAAAACACTAAATCAACCCATGAGTCATATCTTAAAGCTCATCTCTTCGAGCTTCCCCTAGGAGAGCTGTGTTTCACATACTGGAAGAATCAGCTGAGTTCTGCTGGTGACTGTAGTGTCAGGTGTGTTTGCAGTTTTCCCCAGGTAGTGTGAGGGAAGGTGTCTTGTGCATTAAGGGGAGCTAACTAGAATTAATGAGACTACCAGTATTTTAATTAGCTCCTAAAGAAATAAATGAAAAAAAAAAACATTTTAATTTAGTTTAACTTCCAAAACTAGCTGACCTGCTAATTGCTAAGGTATGAGGTAATTTCTTGGGGAAAAAAGCACAAACTATCAGAGAAAAGAGCCATAACTATTCATTGTATTTCCTGGGGCACGTAGACTGTAATTATTCCCTTCAGAGCCAAATGGGCAAAGTCACGGTCCCCTGCTGATTCTCTGCAGACCCCTCTCTATGCTGGGACTACCACAGTCTGCTGGGAGTATCAATTTCCTGCATTGAGAAGCAGCATCACTCATCCTGCTGCCATGACGCAGTGGAAACATCCACCTAACAGTGTATTTTCACCGCAGTTTGCTGATCTCTTTGAGTTTGGAACATGACTTTCCTGAAAAACGAAGGCCGTTGCACAGTGAGGGGAGTACCAACGGGATGCTTCCTTCTCCTGTTTGCTGCTGAGTTATTGCTGATGGAGATGAGCAGAGTTGTTTGACTCAGCCACAACGAAGCTAATACATGAATGATGCAAAAGAGTGTGGCTGGAGTGGCCTTAAAACCCCTATGAACTAACAGCAGAGCATATTTCATATGATGCATCTGCCTCTGCTCTACAAATTCTGTCCCACTCTGTCTTCCTTGAGATGAGGAGGCTCAGATGTGGGCAAAGAAAGAGCAGGGTAACATTGGGCATCGGTGTCACCTGATGATGTCCCTCTAGAAGGTGATTGTGCCTACCTAATGGGCTTCTGCCTGCTGCTGTGAGGGGCTTGGAGGAAAGGAGGGGAAAGCCTAGAGAAGGAGGATGGTCTTTGTGGAGAGGGAGGAAAGACTAGGTCTGAAATATTGAGCCCTCTGAGTCGTCAGGAGCTTCCTGCTGACTGGAGAGCAAGGGTCGAACAGGGCCCAGGACAGAAAATGTGAGATGTCCTACCTGCTTGCAAACTGGGGACTACATTCACTGTCTACACCTCAAAGGGCCCTGATGTCCTTTGGAGGGAATGGAGGACAGACTGTCTCTACCTGGCTTTGCTAAGGGCCCAGGAGAGCAGTGTGGCTGCTCACTGCCTATTTTACTTCCAGGGCTGGCCCTTGTTTCACTTCTGAAGCCGCAACATAGTGCTTTCTCCCCTTCCTTGCCACATTACAAAGTCTTGTCTTTCAGTTATCTCCTCTCTCAAATGAGGACAAGTGTGCAAAGGGAAATGGGACAGAGAAAGAGAAATAAGAACAAGAAGGAAAAGATAGCAGGAGAAAAGTGCAGGAAGATATAGGGGAAGAAATCATGTCTGCCAGAAAGAGGAGGGAGCCAGAAGGGCTCCTCAGCTAGTGGCTAAAAGCCCAGTATAAATTGGGACTGCAGTCACACTGGTGTGTGAAGCTGAGTCAAACACATTCCTCCACGCAGTGGTCAAGGCAACTTTCAGGGGGTTGGTTCAGAGGGGCAGAGCTCACCTCTCCAGAGTCTGTCTAAGCTGAGACAACACAGACTTGGGAGCAGAAATCCACTCGTTCACCAAGTCTGCTGGTTTCCCTGGGCCCAGCAGATGCTGGAGAAGCAACAAATGAGGAGCTGGTGAAGAGAAGAGATGTTTCCCTCTGGCTGGCAGAAGTTATCCTGCACCTATTGATCTTGAAAGGGAGGGCAGTGTCCCTTTCTTGGCCCTTTGATAGTTAAGGGAAACAACTGGACAGAGGTTGTGATGGACAAGATGAGCAAAATGGACTGGGCGGCTGGAGGTGAGGAATAGACTTCTATGTCTGATGAACTCTTGCCATTCTTCCCTTGGCTACTTTGCTGTTAAGGCTAGACATGTTCCATATAGTGAGGGGGGAAGGAACAGAGAGCTCGATTTGCTCTTGCTCACCCTTCCCAAAAATGTCTTACAACCCTTCTTTCATCAGTGCAAGGCCTAGAGAGGATCCCAAGGGTGGCAGTTTCTTGGAGGAAAGCAGTGGTGGGGGTGATGACAGTAGTGTCTTGGGAGGGGACAGCCCGGTCACGGGGCCACTGGGCACAGTGCTGCTGGTCGTGTGCCTCACTGGCATGGTGGGGAACATCTACACGGTGGCAGTGGCCTCTGGCAGGGTGGTGGGCTACTCAGCAGGCTCCTTGGGGGTCTACGTGATCAACCTTGCCCTGGTTGACCTCCTGTACCTCTCCACCATCCCCTTCATGGTTTGCACCTACTTTGCCCATGACTGGCTCTTCGGGGATGTGGGTTGCAGGCTTTTGCTCAGCCTGGACCTCCTCACCATGCATGCCAGCATCTTCTTTCTGACCGCTATGAGCCTGGAGAGGTACTGGGTGGTGGCCAGGCCGCTGTGGGCCAGGCGGGTCAGCAATGCTTACCGCAAACTGGCCAATGCCATCCTCTGGCTCCTCTCGCTCCTGCTTATGACCCCCATGATGGTGATGACCCAGCTGCAGGAGGGGGACAGCCCCCACAAGCGCATCTGCACCCCCACCTGGACACCAGCAGCTTTCCGGCTCTACCTGACAGTGCTGTTCACCACCAGCATCCTGGCACCTGGCGTGGTGCTGGGCACCATCTACATCCGCCTGGGCTGGGCCTACCGGGCCTCGGCCTGGGGCATGGGGCTGCCAGTGGCCGGCCGGGCCCCTTCCTGGTGGCTCTTCTCCAGGATCTCTGACATTGTGGTGGCCTACCGGGCCTGGCAGCTGGTTGGGCTGTACCAGAAGGATGTGCTGGCCATTGGCCCCACTGCCCAGGCCGACCTCAACTTTGGTGTCACCTGCCTGGCCTATGGCAACAGCTGTGTCACCCCCTTCCTCTACACCCTGCTCACCAGCAGCTACCACCAGTGACCTGGCCACAGTGGGATGGGCATGGCACAGCCCACAGCATCCTCCCGGCAGGCTGTAGGAAGCCACAGCCTCCCCCTGGCTTTCAGGGAGTTGTCAGGGTCTGTGAGGGAAAGCGAGGGGTGAACAGTGACACAGGCTGGGCACATCTCCTGACCTTTGCCTGAGGTCAGGTCAAGAAATAAAAGTGCATCACCTTCCGTGCCAGCATGCAGTGTCTTCCATCATTGTTGTTGCAGTGCCTTCTTCTTTGCATGGATGCTCATCCTTCTCAGCTGTGGGGAGGGAGAGAATGCTTGTCTTGGGGTTCCAGACTCCTTCCTCAGGTCCTTCAGCCCTCACATGCCAGCCTCCACCTTGTGCAAGGCCAGGGAGTGGGTGGAAGGGAGCAGTCAGCTTCGATATATCTAAATTATACAGCTGGGGAACCCTCACCACCCCTCAGCTCCTCGCTAGCAACGGGCCAAGCCATAACAAAGTCAGGACAACAGTGAGTCATAGATTTCACAGGAGCAGTGAGTCACTTTGAGAAGCAGCCACGCTAGCAAGGAGACCTGACTAAGTTTCATACTCCCTACCATAAAGCTACCACTCAGCTTTCTTCACCCACCCCTTCACAAAAAAAAAAAAAATCTTTGAAGAGTTTTCTAAAGAAAGACTGCCAAGTGCAGTTAAGAGGCATTGTGAGATTTCCACGAAGTACAGCTCAGTTCAGCACATTTGCTTAGCTTTCAAGATCAGCCCACTAGAGGAAGCTGTAAGGAGAGAGCTCCACTCTGTGTCCATTGCCGCAGCTCACGGTGACCTCACCCGCACCATAGCCCTGCTGTGGTCTACCAAATGTACCCCAGTCTGCCAGATTGTGTCAACACCACTGTGTAAACTTAGCCAGGTCTCTTGCCTTGAAGTCATCTAGCCTAGTATGGCTCACTTCCATACAACTAAACTCTCTTCTCCAGAAAGGATGGCCTCATCCATGTCACCCCATGGGAAGAGTACCCAAGCTACGCTGTGCCCCAGCTATGCCTATGCACAGGGTGGCAATGTCAGATGTCACATGCAGTATTATAGATGTAGCCCTAAAGAGTGTGATGTGATCGTCCAGAGCAGACTGGCTTTGGGCAACACAGGGCTTCAAGAGAGATCCAGCTGCAGAGCCTCAAGTTGCTTGTACACCCCAAGTGTTCTGGTCTCTCCACTTAGCTCTCATCTTGAGCCCTTATCTCTCTCTTTCTCCTCAGCCCCACAATTCCTGGCAATCCAGCCTCCCTCTCTTGGGTACCTAGGATACAGCACCTGGCAGAGCCTCACAAATTATGAAGTGAAAACAGGAGGTGCTGCTGCTGTGCTCCAGCTGCTCTGCAACTCTTTATTGGGATTTGCAGAGCCAGGCCTGCAGGGAGTACTGTAGGACATCAAATTGTTAGTGCTTTGTGTTGCTCACGGCCAAGCCTGAAAGTGAGGACCTAAAAATGGGGCCTTTTAATCTCAGACTTGTTTGGTAACTGCTGTGCACTGTGGAAACTGCAGATCTCACCTCTTCTATGCCCACCAGGCACAGCATGCCCAACAGCAGTAATCATTGCTGCCAAGGTAGCATTAGACTGGGAGAGCCCTCAAGGCAGCTATGCAGTAACAAACATACCTCAATCTCAGACTCCTCATAGTCTAGCCTCAGTTTAGACTGAGAAGTGCTCAGGCTCATTTGGGCTAACGTGAGGGAAGGGGTAACAAAAGCATAGGGCCCACATCCTTAGCATCCCACACCCCAGCTGGGCATTGCTACCTCTCCCAGCTCTGGATGGACCAGGCAAAGCACACAGGGCAGAATAAAACCAGAGCCCTCCAGGGTACTGCCCTCAAGTGCCACAACACAACACTATTTGTGCTTTTGCAGTTATTGGAAGAAAGGATTTGGATAAGGAGCCCTCTACATGCTCTGCCACACCCAGCAAGGCAGCCTTTTCTACTGCTGTCTCCACGCAGTAGCATGAGGTCCCAAGATGACATAGGAGAGCTGTCATGAGTAGGACCAGCCTCTTCAGAGAGGTACAGCCAAAGCTAGCATAATTGAGCACTTTATTCTCACTCCATGCCCCACCAGATTTACCTAGCACAGCAACTCCATGCTGTCTGAGGCCAGCCAGGGATGCTTAATTTAGGGAGAGAGAGATTTAATCAACCAGTTTTACTCAGGCAGGGTAAGGTGTCAGTCCAGATCTCAAGAGTGTGTGACTTTACCTAACAGACCCTTTCACTCTCCCCCCAGGTCACAACTAGCCCTAGTGTTTCACCCTGAGGAACTCCTTGGACTTTTTACCTTCCATCTTTTCATCTTCCATCTTTAACCCTCACCCTCTTCTCCATCCGTGGCCAAGGGTGGCACAATTGCATCCACTTACATTACTTAAAGTTGTCTACCTTCATCCACCCACTCCCCCAGCAAGATGCCCAACCCCTGAGGACTTGCAGAAACAAATTAGATTTTGAGACTGGCTAGACCAAAACTCTTGTTTATTAATAATTTTTTCTGCATCTTTGACATGGAGGCATCAGAGGAAGTTATTCCCAGCTGAGGGACTGGAGCGTGAAGTCCCCTTGTGTATCAAAGTAGTCAAAGACAGCGAGACCAAGCCGGTTAGGGAACGTGAACTGGTGGCCTGGCAGGTGGACTGTCACATCATTTTGGTTGACACCAAAAGTGATCTGCAAGACAAACAGAAAAGTTAAAAGTTTCTGCCAAGACACCCTCAAGGCTTTTCCCTGTACCACCCTTCTCTCTGCAGGGTGAACATGCTCAGCAGCATAACTTGTTCTTCAACAGCAGGAGTGTTGTTCTGGTCTCCTAAGAGATGCCTATTCCCTGCTCCATTCAACAGTAATATCCCTTTTAGCCAGATGGAGCTTGCACATTTGATCCCCACCCTCCATCACGCTCAGAGCCCTAAGTGGTGGTACTGGCCAAGCAGGAGAAGCCAGCCACCTCCTGTACAGACAGCCCTGAGACAGCCCCTGCAGTTGGGTGTCCTGTGTCAAGCACCCTCTCTTCACCAGAGCATGTACAGAGATTATGTATGTGCATATATATATATGTATATATATGCATGCCTCACCTCTGCTGTGCCCCCTTTCTGGAAAGGGAAGACAGTCTCCCTGTGCTCTGCACCCCACTCTTCCACCTTCTTGGAGTTGCACACAATGGTGTTCACATCACCATGAGCATCAAAGCGAGGGTTGAAGTGAAGTCCGAGGTGGGTAGCATCCTTCCCCAGATTCATCACAAAGCTGCAGAGAAAAAAACTTAGACATCAACACTGCTTAAAAAAAAAAAAAAATAAAATAATGTAAATGAGAAACATGCAGCCATAGTATTGAACATCACCGGGTGTTGCTTCAAGCCCAGCTGAGGGTAACCTAAGAGAAACCATTTGCTAGACTGCACAGCTTCCCTAAAAAGTAGTGTTGTGGCAGTAAGGGGTACTGTCCTCTCCTGGGCTCCAGAGTGCCATTCCTGGGAGAGACACTACTTGGTTTCCTCAAAACTTTTAACAAGAGGAGGGTTCAGCACACGGAGTTCTGAACAGAGAGTTATCCTGCACCCAAAGCAATTCTCAAGGTGTCAGTTGCTTTCCACAGATTTCCTTTCAGCTCCAAACAGTTAGCTGGTGCCTGACAGCCACTGTCTTCTCCCCATCCTGCAGGCAGCTGAAATAATTACTACGTGATCAGCTATCCCAAAGTATCTACAGCAGCAGTGAGAAGAAACTTCCTAGCCTAGTGTCCACCTTGCCTCTAGGCCTCTTACCCAGATGAGAGGAGGCATATTATTTGGCAAGAGAAAGCCTGGGAGGCTTCACTCTGACAATATCAAACTTCAAAGGCACTGGGAAATGCTGAGACCTGTTTTCTGGAACACCGCTAGTGCTGGTACATTGGCTACGGGCTCCACCTTACCTGCCAAGGGGCCCCATCAGCCACAGACCTGTACAAGGGCTTGGGACTGCTGCAGAGGCTTCGGTGGGGGCCCCAGGCACCCCAATTCCTGCACATTTAGAAGTATATTTCCACTTAAGCCAACCTGTCTGTTCACCACCTTTCCTCCTTCCTTCTCCACCAGCACATGAGGTGCAACCCCACCATTATGGTGCCCCTGCTCCTGGGCCATCTTCGTGCAGGGGAAAGGATGTGGCTGAGTGGATGATCTTAACCCAAATCTCAGTATAGGCACAGCTTCCTTTTCCTTTACCCTGCACTAGAGAGGATGTGGTCACTGCCAGTGCGTGCAGCTGGAGCTTCACATCTGCTTTGGCTTAGCCCCTTGGCAGTACTGTGTCTGCAATGTGCATTAGGTGATGACTCACTGGGAAGCACTGATGGTGTTAACCCCTTCTCCTCTCCTACCCAAGGAACGGACTCCTTTTGTCCCCCACCAGCAGAAGACAACTCAGTGTGGTGCCCTGGTCATCCCTGGGCAGCACAGCACAGCTTACCTCTTGGCATTTGGTGAGATTTTCCCTTTGACAGTGAGGCGCTGGCCAGGCTTGAGACCCAAGTTGGTGCACACTGGTCCCTGGGGAACATGGAGGTAGAGACATTAGCTCAGTACCTGCTGGCTCACTTGTTCTGACTTGGCAGCTCTCCCTGCTGCTTTGCAAGAGGATGCATTGCTTTGGACCCATGGAGAGACAGGGAAACTCCCTTCCCCCTGGGGCACTGCACCAGGGACATCCCAGAGAAGTTATCCCAATCACATGGGACATGTGCCCAATTTCCCAACCTTTCTCCTGCTCCTCTCATGAGCATATCTCTATTTCGCAGACATGAAGTGTAAGTAGCTGCACTCTCCCATCACACCCATCCCATCCCAAACACACCCATGTGCCTTGTGGGTCTCACATCATCCTGTACAAGTCTGGCTGGCATGGATGGAGCCTCCAGCCCCTTCCACTAGCTTCTGTTTGAATTTCAAGCCTTGCCCATATTGAAGGGCTCAGATACCTTGTTTCCCAGCTCGCAAGGGCTTGGGTTTTTTTGTAGTTCAGCATTTGCAAGAATATTCTCTTGCTCCACGTACACACCTTTCCTCACCTTCTTTCTAGGAGGACTAAAATTCCCTAGCAAACCTATA